CTCCTACCCCATCCCCCGCTCACCTACCCACTTCAAGGCAAGTGAGTGACTCCTCCCACTCTCTCCAGCAGGCGTACCACTGTCAGTTCCAAACATATTGTTCTCCTACCCACAAACCTACAGTATTGTACAAGATCCTACAATCATGTACGCGTCCCTCAAACCAATGACAGAAAAACTAAAATCTCACCACCGAGACTACTGTCTTGATCTTCAGGGTTACTGGATAGACAAGAAGTCTGAACGACTCTTATGAAGTCTGAACGACTCTTATGATAGTGTGAAGACAAAACGATAACAACACAATAATGACACAAACTTACACAACCAACATGATCAAAAATATTTGCCCTCCACGTTTTTCACCGCCGCCCCCCTCTTCAACCTTGTCTTCTGATGTCCCTACCCCGCTCCCGCCCCCGCTCCCCATTCGCCATATGCAGCAAATAGAACCTTCGGGAAAAAACGTGAACGCATTCCATTGTTAGGTGTAAGGCGCACGACCTCGATTGTTACCAAACGAACAACCCGGCTAACTCGTGCCCTCCTTCTTACGCTCGACGTTCCATCATCGAGACTCATTACTCTTTATGTTTGTTTAGGATTCGATTATACATAACTCTTCAACGACTTTCCATGCGATGACGACAATATGACAACATGACACATCCTGACAACAACGACTAACAGTAACTGCAACAGATGGCGTCAACAACAACAGTAACTACAACAGATAGCGTCAACAACAACAACAACAACATCCCACCTCCAAAATACTGATGTAAGTACGTTTTCATCTTGCTCCCTCCACCAAACCTTCTCCCGCTCATATCCCCCATCCCCCTTTCCCGCCCAAAGCCGATTACTAATTAATTGCCGTAGAGACGAGTGACAACGACCAGTCCCTGGCTACCGATCACCATAGACATACTCGCGCTGCAGGAAATGCTGCCGCAAGATACCCGGAGCTTCACCAGCTTCCCACTGCCCGGTTCAGAATCCCCGATGTTGGTTTTGTTGGCAAGGACTTCATTGAGTGCCTCTGCCAGAATTGGGGCGTCTTCGGGATCCACGATGCTGATGACGTTGTTTGGACAAGAAGAAAAACGGGCAAGAAGAGCGGCAAGAGAGGGCGGGGGGGTCAAACGCCGGAGTATGCTGGCACACAACTCTATCCAACATCAGGAGGGCAATCACAGTACCCTCCTTCCGCCGGCGCCCGAAATCGAGCTTCTCGAATATTCTAAATCGCAACCCATTGCAACCCCTGCGTACAACAGCGAGCGGTGTTTATGACAATTATCTGGGCCGTTTCGAACACCCCGAAACAGAAGCTTGTACCAGACACCAACCACCACACAGTACCTTGCGAGAGGCTTCCCGACGGCATCCTCTGGAGCGAGCTGCAGCTGATGAAAGTAGTTTTCGCAGGCGAAGCTGGGTACAGCAGGAGACGGACGGACGCGGGGCGGTCAAGTTACAAATGGGCAGACAGCTTTCCCACCGACTTTTTTTTGGTGGTACTGAGGGCGCCCGCTCGACGAAAATAGAGATGATACACCACCCTACAACTGGGCTCGGGAGTTGGTAAACATCTGAACTTCTCTTGGTAAAAGCGACAATAAGATAGGCTTAATAATTGTCTATGAAGCGTACGGATGGATGTACCGGGAGGAGCGGTGGTAGTGCCTCTATACCTGCGGGTGTCGCTGAAATCCTTGCCAGCCTGACACACAACTCCTGGCAAGAGGTGGGTAAAAAATCACGGCTACAACCTGAATCCTTGTGCACGCGGGAGGATTTCGAATTTCTTTTTGTGTGAGCGTAGATTGTGACGACGCCAAACTCAGTGCGGGCTCGACCACGAAGAAGAGGCTCTCTTATTTACTTCACCGGTAGCCTTGCCAGTTGACATGGATTCTGAACAGGGGGGGGGGGCGGGGGGGTTACTCATGAATACGCATGTAGTAGTCCATGGACCATTGCCGGGACGAAGGGGGGAGGGCGTACTCTCATGTTGTGCATGCCATAGCGGTTAGACCATTGACCCGACCATTGACCACGAGTCCTCGAGAGGACGGAGCATTGTTCCCACAGGACCCATCACCGATGGCCAATCGCTACTTCTTACTTTGCCAACGATGGTTCAAAAATGTCTCCCCTTGTCCATCAATCCTTTTGTATCGGTATCACTTTTCCACCTTTTCAACCCACTTCGTATGTCCCAATACAGCTACAAGTACCGTCTTCTTCTGGCTATTCCATGCCTCAAACATCTCCAAGTATCTCCCTTCTACTTCTCCCAGCTCAGTCATGTACAACGGACATTCCGCCACTACATGAACCTCGTCTTCGCACTCGGTGCAGCATTCACATTTTAATTTGTCGGCTTCATCGACTACCTCCCTAAATCCTCGTCTACGTTGTCGAAGGCCAATGTCCCCGGTCCTAAATTTGATCTTCGGCTTTGTCCCTGCATCCATTGTTCCAGATATATACATGAATACTCCTTTGCACCCTATCCTTTCAATATCAACATTCCGTGCACTTCTAGACCCTCTTTTATCCTTGGTTTCTTTGGCTAGATTCTGTAATTCTCTCTCGGCCAAAGCAACAGATATCTTATCGTTGAACCCCGCTAGACCTTCCGTTCCCAGCGTATCACCTTCGTCAATTTCGAGCTCCTTCCATACGTCATCTACAATCAAACTTGACCCACTCCGTCGGTTGTCTACCCCTGTATTGTTTGCCCACTACGCCTCTCAAGCTATTCTCGGCAACCTCTTCTCTCCCATACCGCACATTGGGGGGGGGGGCGGGGGGGATCCCAGCCGACGTCGCCGCCAAAAACTCAAAAGATCATCGTAAAACTTTCATCATCGCGGCTTCATCGAAAGTCTGCAACAAATAAGTTTTGTTGACTTAGAGGCAAACATTCCTAGCTATAGGGCATCGAGTTAATTTGGCTTGGCATGACGGCCTTTACGATCGACTTTCTACGTGTGTCTGCATTTATCTACAGTTGTCGGAGGGCAAGCAAAATAATAATAATAAAAGCTCATGAACATATAGATGAGTACCGTTTCCACACGGAGGATAATCAACGTCTGTTCAGTCGAATCCTTCAACAGGGCGCCGTGGTTGGCGCTGACAGAGTGGATGCATGGGACCCTGATGATGCGTGTCATGAGCGCACGAGGCCTCACCGTGTTGTTGCCGAACGAAGGGCCGGAATCCGAAAGAGCAGCTCTAAAAGCCAACTAGCTGGCAGTCTACAGTAGGCTAACCTGAAGGGGGCGTCCGGTTCGACGCGATGACAAGAGAAGAGGTCAGGGCCTTCCTCCACCAAGGCCTTGTAGAGGGAAAGGATTTCGACTTCCTGGCGTTTGCGGAAGATAAACAGTAGTGGCGCGTACAACGACAACAGCAGCAGTTCTTCGTAAGAAGTCGACAAGAGCGACAACAGCAGCAGTGTTCAAGCAACGTCATGCTGGCGGCAGCGTTGTAGACTGGTTGTAGTTGTATTACCCCTCTAACACTCGTGCTGGCTGGTCCAACTGACGCGGGCGCCTCCCGTAGTTATAGGACGCGTGTATCCATGCATGCATGGCGACTGGCTGCGGTATATCATTATATATCTCGAACGGCAAGTCTTGCCTTGATTTTACTGTATGGTAATTTACTGAAAAAAACAAGGGAAGGAAGCAGACGAACCCACCCCTTGTGAAGCACAAGGGGGTCATTGACATAATGAGAAAAACCGCCTCTCGCCGACGGCCCGTGAGCGAGTCCCACCACTCACTTCATATCTCATTCTGATGCATGAATGCTTGGAAAACAGGGTCAGGGCCCATGCACAGCACGAACATCAACTTGTGCGAACTCTTCAGAACATTAGATAGATACATTTGGGTGAAGTTCTTTGCGTTTTCGCAACCACCCCCACACCAATCTTCTTTGTCTGCGATGTTCTTATTTACCCACATCTATTTTTCCTCCACCCAGTTTCTGCACCAGATATTATGCAATTATAATTGGCAGAGATCAATCTTTGGTCTGACATAGACCATATATATATATATATATATATATATATATTTTATCGGATCCCTATGCCGCAAATACCGACATGCTCCTTTGGGTCGAAAGTAAAACACGCCGCTCTATAGTACCCCCCTCAACATCTATGCAAGCAAGTGTCGGGGAATATTGTTGTACTTGAAGTTCGTTTGATCGTTTTACACTGGTCTAGCATCCTGAGTTTTGTTTGCTCAAGAATTCTGGGATATTTTTCTGCAGGCAACCAAAGAAAAACCAAGACACATGAAACAAACTGAGAGCGCAGGTAAAGTGCCGTCTTGCTCCCAACGTTTTGTCATTGGACTAAACCGTTGCAAACTTCCCAAGAGTGCCCTACAAATATTGCTGTTGTTTCCGCCGCTGGCCTAAACATATCGTACTCATAAACTACCTACACTTGATACCTTCCAGTCGTCGACCGACTAGACCCCCCCATGCCCCCCCCTCTCTTGAGTGATGGGTGTGGGTGGGCGGGAAAATCGATCAAATCCTAGGCAGCACCCCGTGTTTGCTGCTGCTCAAAGCTGCTGTCTCTGCTACTTCTCTCAAATGCACTTGCTTGTCTCTCGCTAAGCGAGAGCACATAAACTTTCAAAGGTCGGTTTAGTACAATAAATAGTACAGCAGTATTTTTAGTACAGTATCGAGAATCCGCACTACGGTTAGTACCAGTCCAGTATGTGAGAGATGAATACTGTACTCACCTGAGTACAGTACAGAGACCCTGTACTAAAATCAGCAGTACGCTTAGTACAGAATGGAGAGCCGTACTAAACGCAACAGTATTAGTTAGTTTAGCACAGTATCGAGAATCGGTACTGAGGTTTGTATCAGTACAGCATGAAAAACCGTACTAAAAGCAACAGTATGTTTAGTACAGTATGGAGAGCGGTACTAAAATTGTTTTTAGTACAGTATGGAGAGCTGTACTAAAGTGTTAGTACAATTAGTACAGTATGGAGAGCTGTACTAAAGTGTTAGTACGCTTAGTACAGCAGTATGAAGAGCCGTACTAAACGCTATAGTACGCCTAGTACAATATGGGAAGCCCTACTAAAAGCAATAGTACGCTTAGTAAAGTGTGACCAAGGGTCGGTTACAGTACAGTTTTTTTAGTACAGTATCGAGAATCCGTACTAAGGTTAGTACCAGTCCAGTATGTGAGAGATGAATACTGTACTCACCTGAGTACAGTACAGAGACCCTGTACTAAAATCAGCAGTACGCTTAGTACAGAATGGAGAGCCGTACTAAACGCAACAGTATTAGTTAGTTTAGCACAGTATCGAGAATCGGTACTGAGGTTTGTATCAGTACAGCATGAAAAACCGTACTAAAAGCAACAGTATGTTTAGTACAGTATGGAGAGCGGTACTAAAATTGTTTTTAGTACAGTATGGAGAGCTGTACTAAAGTGTTAGTACAATTAGTACAGTATGGAGAGCTGTACTAAAGTGTTAGTACGCTTAGTACAGTATGAAGAGCCGTACTAAACGCTATGTAGTACGCTTAGTACAATATGGGAAGCCCTACTAAACGCAATAGTACACTTAGTACTGAAAATACTGAGAGAACAACTGAATGTAAGCGTACGCCCTCATGATTCCAACGCCAACCATCCAATGTTATGAACCCCCCCCTCGATGCTCCCTCGCACCCTCCCTCTCCGCCTTACCAATCACAATCACTACTAACTGTAGACCGCCAACGCTGTAGAGCACGAATCCTCAATCCACCCACTCGATTGAGTGTTCAAAAATAAAAATCAAATCAGAGCCCCACCAGGTGGTGGTCGTGGCGTGAAGACCCCGTTGAGGACTTTGAGTAGAGTATGGGGGGCTATATGCATACTATCGCGTTAGTACAGTATCGGCAGCCGTACTAAAGCTATTTTTAGTACAGTATGGGAAGCCCTACTAAACTCAGCAGTACGCTTAGTACAGTATGAAGAGCCGTACTCAACGCAACAGTACGTTTAGTACAGTATCGAGAATCGGTACTGAGGTTTGTATCAGTACAGCACAGCAGTATGAAAAGCCGTACTAAAAGCAACAGTATGTTTAGTACAGTATGGAAAGCGGTACTAAAATTGTTTTTAGTACAGTATGGGAAGCCCTACTAAGAGCAATAGTAACGTTAGTACAGTATGGAGAGCTGTACTAAAGTGTTGGTATCCCAGTACTGGGCGGTGGGGCGAAATACTTAATAAAATACTTGAAAGTAAGCCCTGGCCCCTCAGGCATGCCTGAGAATTTGCCTGAGAGCCCGTTTTGGGGAGAGGGCTGCCTGAGAGGGGTTATTGTGCCTTAGCGCTCCTGATCCTCGCTAGGGACGTGCCGAGTCCCCTCTCAGGCACGCGAGGTAACCAAATAACAACGCCGTTATATTATGAACTCCGGGATATGGGGACACTTCGGGGGGGGGACCCGAAACATCAAGTGCCTTAAATTTTGCCTTAGCCCAAATTTTTTTGCCTGCGGCGCTTTGCCTCAGGCACGACGAAGGCGTGCCTGAGGGGCCAGGGCTTACATAGAGGGGGTTGGAGTCTGTTGATGTGGTACGCACCCGTTTCGTGCGATCATGGCTTTGGGGTTCGCAAGAGAGAACTGTACCGCTCGCGCATAGGGTACCCGGGCAATTATTCTACCGGTTCCCCCCGCTACCCCCCAAAAATATCCCAAAGTATGCATAGAACTTGGGTACATTGGTATCGAAGACAACATTCTTTGGGCATCCTTGCAATATCCC